GACCACCCCCCGCATCCCGATGAAGAACCTGACCCGACAGAGCAAACCGCAAGACACCGACTCGTGCCCAATCTGCCGCTAAAAGCCTGCAGTAGAGATCAGCTGGGAGAAGTTTCGGTCGCCCGAAACTTGGCAGGCCCAATTCTCGACTGCGGCACGGTTGATGCCTGGCAGTGAGGCTGGATTTTGGGGAGGAATAAAGGAATAGGGCACAGAAATAAGTAAGGCGTTGGCCCAAGATGGCCAAAGACAGAGACAGCGATCTATCGGGCACCAGCAGCCAATTAAAACGGCCGCCTTTGAACCACTACGACAGCACGGATTCGCAGCCGCACGGCCATCACCGTTCCAGAAGCCAGAAGCACATCGTCGGCGGCGGAGGTCGGCTACACGCCCGAGTTCCGTCATCGAAAGCCCTGCACAAACACCATGCCTCGACGACATCTGCCTCCAAATTGAGTCGCAGACACGGGTCGCTTTCGCCCGAGCGAGCAATAGGACCACCCGCTGCGTCCACCCATCGCCGCGCGACCTCAGACCTCAAGCTCACTCGAGACCCTTCAGCCACCGATCTCAAGAAAAACGCGTCCCAGACCAGCTTCAAGGGGAAGAGGAATAAATCGGCGTCGAGCCTGAAACGCTCAACCTCCCAACCGGCCGTCAGTCAGCTTAAATCTGCTGTGCCTGGCTCAAAGGTTCACTTCAACCTCGGCGACGACGGCCAAGACGACGACAACGGCCCGGAAGACGAATGGGTTGATGCCAGCACCTCCGCCTCACCCCTTCTCTCGAGGCGCAATTCAACCGTGAACGGCGCCGGCCAGGTGGCGAACCCACCAACAAGCAACGACAACTTCCCATCACCTTCGTTGTTGGCGCGTCGCGAGGACAAGGACACGGCTGAGCAAGTGGCGGTTAATACTGCGCATGACCTTGCTCAGAGTCTCAGCCGCGACATCGCTAGCCACAAGCAATATCTCACATCACGTATCCTCCAACGTACTCCGTCGCATGGTGCTCCCCCCAAAATGTCAACAGACAATGTTTTGGTTCGCCCATCGTCGTCTCACCGACATTCGCCAGACTTGGGGGATGATCATGACGGATCTTCATCTTTTTCAGCAACCCGCCACCTGATGCGGACGTTCGGGCCAGGAAGCAGTGGCGGCAAAGAGCAAATGTCCTCCCGCTTCATTCGCCCTGACAGTCAGCTGCCTGGGTCGGAAACACCAGGCAATGGTTTCCTCACGTCTGCAACTCGTACCGGCCTGTCCCGGACCGGAGTCAATGACAAAGCCCAAGCTCCCTTGCCCCGACGTCCACGGTCCATGGGAAGCTTGGCGCAAGCGCGAGATCAACTTTACGAAGACATGCGGCGCGCAGATGAACCCATTGAGGACCCATCTCTAACTGATGAGGAGGATCTGGACAACCTCGGAGCATCGGGTGGGCCTCGGGCACGACGCAGGGGCGGTGCCTATGCAATCCCGAGAGACATGAACCGGACACAGCAGAAGATGAACCTCCAGCGAGTGAGCTCTACTCTCGAGCCTTCCCATCCTCACCCTGCAGTGAGACTAGGACTGGCAGGCGTGCCAGTTGACGTTACGCCTTTGATCGGTGGCTCTACCTTCGATGCGCAGGACCCAATGCTAGGGAGAGTGTTGGAGAGAACAGGTATGGAATATCTCGTCGTCCGACGGTACCAGAATCCCGTGGCTCGATCATTGGCTCGATTGGCGCAACTGCCTGGTATGAACATCAATCGCCGGATCCCTCCTCGCCCAGGAACTGGACACTCCAGGAAAAGTTCCGACCTTGGCGCCTTTCTAAGGAACACGCGAGAGCCCGAGCCTCGCGACCCCCCGAGTGCTGCGACGACGATTACCGACGCTGTCAGGCGGCCAACTACACCACGGCGAGCATTCTCTGCTATTGGAGTCAGTAGCACTGGTTCAAGCCTCGAGAATGATGATGGTGCCAGCAAAATCCACGAACGGCAGAACTTGAGCGGAGCGAGTTTGGTGGATGGGGTGGAAGATGCCGGGACTATAGCGCTGCTCCGCATGATGTGGGACAAGAACATGGACCTAAGTGCGAGCCAGGACTAGGAGACTGGACAGGAGACGGTGTTACCCCGGGATTTAGAAGAGGACGAGGGCGAGCCTCCGATTTCTTTGATATGCGAGGCTCACATTCCATATATGGAGCAGGGAAGAGTGTTATGACGGCTTATGAAGTGCTTCGTTTCATAAAAGATGGCTTTCGCGACGGTAGATACGGCATGTGGCAAGGGCTGGGAAACGTGCGCCCGAGCTGCCATTATCCATGCATCATGCGTTTTTAGTTATACATTATAATCTGGGCCATGGGGCGAGGTACAGAAAATGGTGAAAAGGGTTAGGACAATTGTCCCACAGTTTGCGGTTTGGAAGCCTGCATAAGAGGCGACGGGAGGACGGGTAGATATTTCTCGTCAAAACAGTACTTAATAAGGCTTTGCATTCCATTTATGTATGCTTCGGTATCGCGAAACGTCATCCTCTACATCTCTTTTACAAAAAGTTCACACAGAACAGTAGATGGTGGGGAGAAGCGATTCGGCGCATCGTCTCTTCTCTCTGAAGGTGGGCTTTGTGAGGAAGTTTGCGTCCGTGCGCGAGCGCCTCCATCTCTCTGAAGGCCAAACGAGCCAGCCCTTAAACATTTTGGCGTCAACAACCCCGCCGCCACCTTTCTCCCAGCAACACCAACTCGCTTTACGGCTTCTCACTCCAACCTTCAATTTCGCCTCGCGCACATCGTGCTCGCGCAACAAGGCAGGTTCGTAGCAGCCACCCAAGAACTTCGGCATTTGATAACGCGATCTATCTGTTCATCACGAAAATGGCATCCGATTTGAAGGAATTTGAGGCCCAGGTATGTGACGATCAAGGCCAAATGACAAAATCAGCGACGTGCTGCTAATTACACTGTTTCGGACAGCGCGACCAGGTAATCGCTCAGATCGAGGATGATCCCGACAATGCCGACACCCTTCGCGTACTGAAGGTCGACCTCGACGCGTTGATTGAGGAGCTCCGAAACAACATCGCCGAGTCTGATGCCGACCAGCCTACCGAGCCCGCTCCCCCCAAAGTCGCTCCCCCGCCTCCGGCCGAGCAGCCAAAGTGGTCGCACGAGAATCACCCCGCCTTTAAGAAGCCATCGGCTCCAGTTGAGGAGAAAGAGAAAGAGCCTGAGCAAGTCATTACCTACCAGGTCAACGATACGGTCATGGCAAAGTGGATTTCTGGCGACAAGGCCTTCTATCCTGCTCGGATTACTTCTGTCACTGGCTCGTCGGTGAACCCCATTTACACAGTGAAGTTTAAAGCCTACGACACCGTGGAGACTCTCCGCAGTAAGGACATTAAACCCGCTGCCGCACAGAAACGCAAGGCCGACGGCAGCACAGTGGATTCCGGAAGCGGGAATGCTACCAACGGCTCATCCTCGATCTCGACCTCTGCGGGCACCAATAACGGCATCGTGCTCACCGCGGCTGCCGACCTGTACCCGCAGGCCCAGATGGCCAAGGCCGGTGCCGAGGGAAATGCTGACGACAAGCCGCGCAAGCACAAGAAAATTAAGGCCAACAAGGAGCTGGAGGCTGGCAAAAGCAAGTGGCAGGAGTTCAGCTCCAAGGCCAAACTCCCAAAGGCTGTCAAGAAGGAGAGCATGTTCCGAACTCCTGACGGCTTTAAGGGTCGAGGTCCGATATATCCTTGCTCGCGTCTCTTTTTCTGGCGAGCGCTGACATCAACCTACAGTTGGATTCACTGGCTCTGGCCAAGCGATGCGGAAAGATCCTACGAGAAGCCGCCACGTCTACCAGCCTAATGAAGAACTGGACTAGCTGACTTTGGGTGCTTCTGTTTTCCAGACACGGTCACGATACCGGAACGATTCACCACATACATAATCATTCTGCGATGGGTTTCGGGGGTTGCATTGGCGAAAATACCACCACTTCGGTATTGGCGTACGAAATCATGGGCTGGCGTTCTGGAGTTATTGGCGTGGATGACGGTTTTGCCCTTTCAGATTCCCCCTCCTGCCTCCCTTGCGTTGTTTTACCCTTTCGGCAAACCTTGATAGAGGCTAACGTGGCTCCCTTTACGGGGAAAGCAAAAACGACGACACCAGGTCGATTTTCGCAGGCCTTATACGAAAGGGTAGTAGCAACTATAGTAATTAGACACCAAGGTAGATAGAGGTCATCGCACTGTAAAGAAATGCTCATGTCCAGCGCTGGCAATCTTGACCTACCGTTGCCCAATTTTCCGCTTGCCGAAGCCCATGAGTGCTTTAACTGTGCATATTTAGATATGTAGGAGAATCATGGAAACCGGGAGGCACACAAAATTCGCACAGGTGCCTAAGCTGTCATACCATCCTGCCTCCCCTCCACCTGCTCACCGACACCTCTGTCTCGAGCATGCAGGTGGCCATGTAGGGCTTCTTTCCAAGCCAGGCATCGAACATAGTCAGTGCCCGTGATTGCTTCGCACAGAAAGTAGCAGCTTTTGAGGCTCCCCTGATATTCTGTGACACAAAAATCCATCAGCTCAGCCCAAAACTACATCTCTTTCAGGCTCTGCCGAACATATAGAATTCCTAAACAACTACTACAACTTCTATAGATTATTTGTTACATCACCTCCGGGGCGACAGACAGAAACAAGTGCTGAAGACTTTTTTCTCTATAATCTGAGCAGACCAGATCGTTGCAAACAGTTATGTATAGGAATCACGCCAACATACAACTTAAAATCCCCCGAAGAAAGTCTAACGATGGAACCACCACCACTAGAAACTCCACTCTTAGATGCCCAAACCTACCTGCTTGTCAGCCATTAATTATCAGCGGAGCCACACACACAAAGCCACCTAGAAGCACACAGTCAACCTAGCTATGGGCCCGATTCTCACCCCACAACTTCAATAAATTCATTCATGGGTGCATGGTCTAGTGGTATGATTTCTGTTTTGCATTGCCTGCTCGTCTATGATTCATACATTTCATAGTCACCGTGTCGAAGCTCATACAGACGGTCCCGCGTTCGATCCGCGGTGCATCCACTCTCTATTTTTTGTCTTCCACCTGTGTCACCTGTCAACAAATTTTTTTTAAAATGCTCGTAGATTTATGAGTGAGTGTCAAATGACTTGATGCCCATCAATATTTTACGCAGTGGTTGGAAGTCAAATAACGAGGGGTTGAAAATTTTCCCCTTGTTATCATTGTAAGTAATCCCTGCATCGTATTGCCGGAACCATCATGACGACCCCGAACCATATAGATCGAAAAGACTATGAGCATTAAACACTATGGTGCTTGAAAACATGGCTAATATCAGTATAAGAGCAAACAGCTTTAAGTTCCTCCAAAGCAAAGACCAGCGCGAGCAAAGAAGTGATGTATGTGTGAACGAGCTTATATTAAGAGTTGATACATTTTTATTTACATGCCTTTTGTAATTTTCTCGTACAAGCTTGAGATGATGTTCTGCATCTCCCTAGCTCCTGTGATCCAACATTTCAAAAGGGTCAACAACCTTCATCTAATGCGAAGTTTCCAACTCCAACATCACAGAAACCCGTTTAATGCTGCTCGAGACCGATCCTCGCCCCCACCTTGGCCGCAATATCCAAGAACACCTTCGCCCTCTCCGACTCGGGCTCAGCAACCACCGTCGGCTTCCCCCCCGACCCATCCTCCCCAATGTTCGGGTGCAGCGGCACATCCCCCAGAAACTCCATCTCATGCTCCTCACACACCTTCTTCACCTGGTCGCTCGACCCAAATACGGCGCTGTCCCCATGGCAGTGCGGGCATCGGAACACGCTCATGTTCTGCACCAGGCCCAGGATGGGCACCGACACCTTGTTGAACATGTCGATGCCCTTGACTGCGTCCCGCACGGCGAGCGTGTGCGGGGTCGTGACGATGACAGCCCCATCAAGCACGATCTGCTGCGTGATGCTGAGCTGCGTGTCCCCCGTTCCCGGCGGGAGGTCCAGCACCAGGATGTCCAAGCCGCCCGACCACGCGACTTCGTGCAGGAGCTGCTGCACCGCCTTGAGGAGCATCGGCCCCCGCCAAATCACCGCCGCGGACGGGTCCACAAGGTATCCCATGGACATAGTCTGCACGCCGTAGTTGGTTAGGGGTACGAGCTGGTTCTGGTCCGAGAGCCGTGGTGCATCCGACAGGTTGAAGAGGGTCGGGATGGACGGGCCGAAGACGTCTGTGTCGAGGATTCCTGAGCGGTAGCCTAGGCGGGCAAACGCGAGGGCGAGGTTTGCTGTGGTAATGTTAGGTGATGGTGCTTAAAGGAGGGGGGGTTGTTGACACCCCCTTGTTTTCCGTATTATCTCTTCTAGGGTGCATGATGGACGTTGAGAGATGAATGAAAAGCAAAGAAAAGAGTATCACAAACCGGCCACAGTGCTCTTCCCCACACCACCCTTGGCAGAGGACACGGCAATTACTTTGGCGACATCTTTGATCTTGCGCTTCTGCGGGAGACCACGCTGCATGCGCGGGATGGTGCCAGCTCGAGGCAAACCCTGACAGCAAGTTAGTTGGATACTTTTCAATGAGCGTGAGTGAGTTATGACGAAAAGAAGCTACCAGAGGGTTTTCGTGACACAGAACTCTTGTCGTGTGCAAAAAGCGACGGATGCTGATGCTGGGTTGGGGTCTCATGGCGGGCGGCATAGCTCAACCCTCATGATAAGACCGCGTCGATTGCTTATAGGGATTATTTACAGTTCGTACCGTACATCATGATGAGTTAGTTGCTCTATTTGGGGTTGCAAGGACCCTCCAGGACCCCTGTAAAGGTCCCGTTGCTGGTTGTAGGTTGTGGGCCTTTCAACCTGCCGGAAGGATTCTGCCATCTTTCACCGCCAAAAATTTCCAAGCGCAATTCGAGTGAACTTGAGACCCGTTCAAAAAATTTCCGCGTTCGTGGGGTTGGTTCGTCTTTCCAGTCATCCATCAAGCAAATTCCAAAGGCAAACCACGCCGCCGTTATATCATGGGATTAATAGAGAAAAAACGCTCCAAGCGTTCCGAGTGGGATGAGAAGCCGGTGATAGGTGAGGCCAATTCTGCCCCCTTTCTTTTCCTTACCTCTTCCAGAAATTGGGGGAGCTTTTTATAATTAGAATTGCACTGACGCGACTTAGACGTTGACCCGGAAAATGAAGCTCCCGACGACAGCGACAACAGCGACAGCGACGAGTCGGTAGACGAGCGCGCTGGGACAGAGCACTACGTTACCGTAGGGTACGACAACCCCCTTCCTAATTCCCCTTCGCTCCTATTGCCGTCACAAACACACAGCGTTCTAAACTAACAACTGCTCTGCTTAGAAAGAGCAAGCTTCGCGAAAAAGAGGGAGTTACCCTGGGACCCGAGTACAGAGGCGCACGGGTCAGCCGTGCCGCATTGGATGAAAACAGCGACTCCCAACACGAAGACAAGGAGGGCGGGTCCGATGAGGAGGAATTCGCCGACCCAGACACCGCTGACCTTGCGGCCGACCGCGTGGACTTCGACGACGAAGACGAGATCAGCAGCGATGATGCCCTTTGCGAGAGCGATAATGAAAAGCTGAAGGGTTTCTCGTTCGTCGCGAGCAAGACCTCCAAAGGTCCCAAGTCGCGCATCGCAAAACGACCCACCGCCGCTGATTTCATGTCCGAGTCTGGAAACGAGGACGATGGCGAAGAGCTTGACGGTGAGCACGATGGAGAGGATGATTCTGAGGATGACTCTGATCTTGGCAGCCTAAACGGCGCTATGCTCTCCGACGAAGAGGACGACGAGGACGAGGATGACGAGGATGACGAAGTGGATGAGGACGGTGAGGGAGACGAAGACGAGGAGATGGACGATGAAGAGGAGGAGCAGGGTGACGACGACGCGGAGGATGAGGAAGCTGATAATGGTGATGATCAGCGCGCGGAGCTTCGCAAGATCATAAGCGAAGGCCAAAAGAGCATTGTGGCCGCCATGTCCCAGGCTGCCAAGGCAGATGCCGACAAGGGTGTTGCTGTTCGCGTGCAACGGCGGGCTTTCGACTCCATTTTGAACCTACGAATTAGACTTCAAAAGGCATTGGTAGCGGTCAACTCGTTCAATGTTGTGGAGAGCAACGACGATCCCGGCATGGAGCCATACCAAGCTGCCGAAGAAGCCGCTGTCAAGCTCTGGAACACCATCGACAGTGTCCGACATAGCCTCAGGCCCGAGAGCAAGGCGAAGCCCGGGAAGAAGAGGAAGCGGGATATCGATTTGGACATTCGGACCGAGGAGATATGGGAGCGGATGGAGACCATCGAGGATGCCGCCATGTCACACAGGCGCAAGGTCTTGGACAAGTGGGCCGCCCGCGTGCGAAGCGGGAATTCGGCGGTTTCTACCAGGAGGCTAGGCGAGTCTGCGTCGCAGTCTCTGGTTTCCGTCTTGGACGACCAGCTCTTGAGCGTCGGCAGGCTCGTTAAGCGCGCACGAACCCCTCGTTCCTGCGCACCAGCTCAGTCGGCCAAGAAGGTGGCCGAGGACAAGGACATCTATGACGATGCCGACTTCTACCAACTCCTCCTCAAGGAACTGGTTGACCAGCGCAGCGCTGACACCGGGGCGCCTGGCGAATTTGTAGCAACAGTGCGGTGGGCTGCTCTGAAGGAAGCCAAGACCAGGAAACTCGTAGACCGCAAGGCCAGCAAGGGGAGGAAGCTGAGATTCACTGTGCACGAGAAGCTGCAGAATTTCATGGCGCCTGAAGACCGCAGGACGTGGGAGGATCATGCGGTGGACCGTTTCTTCGGGACACTCTTCGGCCAGAAGATGGAGCTCAAGGAGGACGAAGCATCGGACGAGGAGATGGGCGGTGCCAGTGTGGAAGAAGACGGTCTGCGGTTGTTCCGAGGCTAGACAGCACGCGCCACCCCTTTTGTTGTTGAATACCAGTCAAACAATAACTATGTCTATTTGTCTATAAAAAGTACCCTGTGTCAAAGTATTTATCTCAAGTCATACTGCGATGCTCTCTCCCGTCTGCCTTACGAAAGACCTACCAAACCAGCCCCTACCAGCGCCACTAGACCTAACAGATGAACCACCAGATGAACCCCAGGCCCGCCTAGGACCTTCTGCTCCTTTTCCCCCTGCTGCATAGGCATCCCGCCGAAAAGCCTCACCCACGCCCGGGAGAGGGGCCACACGTGGTAACTCCCCAGGCAGAGTGACACCAGCGCCGTCGCCGAATCGAACCCCGGCCGCGCTAGGAACACTGCGCACAGCAGGTTCGTGGATAGGAGCAGCCCGCCGTAGCTCCGCAGGATGAGCACCGCTTCGGGGGTCGCGGCGGCGGCCGACGCGAGTTGCGCCGAAGGCTTGAAGATGAAGGACAGGGCGGCCGGGGTTTCGATCGCTAGGTGGTAAAGCAGGGGTGCTTTGAGGAGGGGATGGGTGGACATTTTTTGGTTGTTTGTTTTAATGGGTTGGTTTGTCGATGGTGAGGTTTTTTGGGGTGGTAGCAATTATAAGGGACGGTTTTGATGTTTGGTGATTTGATGGGGGTGGGGGTTGGTGAGATTGAGATTAAGTCTGTCTCACTTCACTCAGTTTGAGGAATTTGGTTTTTTCTTCTTGCCAGAGTTGTAATCACAGCATTTGAAGTCTCGGACAGTTACGGGCGAGTAGGTCAAGTAAGTTTGACAGTGATGAAATGAAATAAGTAGGTAGATAAAATTAAAAAACCGAGTGACGACGAAAGGAAGGGGTGGCTCGAGCCTCGTCTTCAAAATGGAGCTGAGGGTATCCGTAAGCTCGGAAGATGTTGCGTTTTCTGGCTATGATTTCGGCCGAAGGTGGAGATGGGGTAACTTTTAAAGAAATGCGAGACCTTTTCGACGGGGAACTACATGTAGCTAGTTTTTCTGTAGGAATATTCCAGAGTGGAGGGATAGGAGGACCGCAATTGCGTGAAAAGGGAAAAGACCGGTCGATGACGTAGAGTCACGATAGAAAGCCAAATAAATGTCTATCCAGGCGCTCTCTGATA